ACGGCCCTCCTCCAGTCGCCATGGTAACGGGCAACAGAAAAACGAAAGGGAGAAATTAAATCACGCCGTCGTGGGGCGGATGCATTAATTTTGCATAAAGAGAGGGTGAAGTGCGGATGTGCCGCCGCTTCTTTTGTTCCTGCCTAAAGCTGAAGGTGCACTGCTGAAACCATGCCAGCTTCACTGAAACATGGATATGACATTTTGTAAACTGCATCAAAAATTCCAAAAATCTTACCAAACAATGGCCTATACATCATGCCCTGTATGCACGTATTATTACATTCATGCTTGTGATAAGAAATGAAGGAAATCAGGACTAAATCTGCATTCTGACATTACATGAAAGTGTCTGTTATGTTGTTAAGTGGATGCTATCTAATCATATTTGGCTCACAGGGAACTACGGGGACTAGTTTTGGAAAAAAATCTAATTTACACAATTTTCCCTTTAATTTAAATGTAGTCAATAAGATATGCTTGAATATTTGAAACAGTTTGAAACGCTTAGCATCATTATGTACTGTATCCCTCCAATCAGAACTGCACCCGTACTGCTTCTATAGGCAATAATACTGAATGCATGTGCCTTGTTTTTGTGTATAAACTGACAAAGCATTGATAATAAAGCTTTACAATTGAAAAATTTCTTGTTTTTGTCATTTTTGTTTGGAAAAGCGTATGAAAGAGGAAGAGAAAGCATGGGGAACACAGAGGTATTCAGTGTTTGACTTTTTTGTCATTACGACCCTTTTTGGTCTCAACCCTACTGAATTTTCACTTTTTAGGACGAACTCTCAGCAGCAGCTGAATGACATAAATAAACAGCTTTTTGCTTTTTATGCCCCATAAATCCATACAACAAATGTATGAATAGTTCTATTCAATGCACATTCATAAACATGTTACGTCCATAAGCGAAAGTGGACGTACTTTGTTTTGAACCGAGCTATCAGTTTGCACCAAACATAACATTTTTTGATACCATTAGCCTGTGTGACGTCACATGCAAAACCAGGGTTTTGAAACTTCAAACCAGATCAGAGGAATTGATTCATTTTGTTTGAATGTTTCGAATGATTCAGAACAAGCATCGCTACCTACGAAGCTAATCGAGCTAACAAGCAATGGAATGAAAAATTTGTATTGTGCAAAAATGCAAGACTACATCATCACAAACTTTCCTCAAACTATTAAATATAGGGTATTTGTTTATGTAGTTTCTGACACCAAATGATATTCAGTTATCTATCAACCTTATCTATCAGAACCTTATCTACCAGAAAACTGTCAGAAAGCAAGTCTTTTTAAGCTTACTTAACAACTTGACCTGATTTGAGGCAAATGTAAGATTTACATTATGTTAACTGAAAAGCTTCTATTATTTCAGAAAGCAAGCTACCTTTGAGTTGAGTGGGAAACTGTCTAAATTTGTCAGACTATTCCTTCAAGGCCTAGAATCCACCAGTGATGGTTAGCTACCGAGCACAATAAGAACAACCATTGTGTTCAAGCCCTGTCTGACGTTGCCATGACGCAAGGAGACAACAGCAATCATGAATCATCGACCACACCAGTTCACCCAATCATCTGATGACAAAAGATCAAACTTGATATGTCAGTGTCTCATGATAAAAGAAGACACGTTCGGCCCACCTCCACACAGCATACGTTTTTATGCTGTTGACAAAAAAACCCTACACACTACCCCGACTACACAAGTTTATCACAGCGGTGTTGATTTGATTAGAGTTCACGGCGAGATTCAGCACTGTCACAACACGGGTGTCTTTGATTTCCTGGCAAAGGCAGCGTGTCTGTGCACATATAGACAGCTGTTCATCATGGTGACAGTAATGCATGGAGTGTTCCTGTGGTGCTTGCTGCGTTTTCTTCCTGCGGCAATCTTGGAGTAGCCTTTACCTGAATATTTTGCTGTTTTCCTTGCTCAAACACACCTTATTCAAATTATCAATTCATTAACAAGCCTGTCCATATTCAAGGGGGCAAGTTAGAGCAGGGAAACACTAAACTGTGCAGGGCAGCGGTACTTTTGATCTTGTAATGAGATTGTATGGGGAGAACATTGAGAAAATTTAGGCTAAACTGGAGTAAGAACTTATTAGGGAAGGAACAACCTTTGCGTGACATTTCAAAACCAATCCAACACCCCCTGAAGGTGAATCTCAAAGTACTGGGTGTTAGCACACAAATGAGCATAAGTCAGCATGGCAGAGAAGTCCCCCAAAAAATTCCAATTGAGCCTATCAGTTGTACTCCAGGCATTAGAGGAGCATGGGCTAGACTGGGGAATTTTACGGCGAGTTTTAGAGGAGGAGTACCCTTGTTAGAGGCCATTCAGCACTAAAAGTTTATTAAGTTCCCAAACGTGTATTCTTGTTATGAGATCATGCCTGGCCCCACGAGACTAGGGTACTCCAGGAGCAGGACTGGCAACTACTTCCTTACATTCTTAAAATGCCAAAATAGCTCTTAGGAGCAATTACACAAAAGAACCACTTTTGACCCACTAAGGAACTGTTTAAATGGATGATTCTTTAAAGACCCATTGCTGTAAATGAGATGTGCGAAGTGTGAAAAACCTTTTTAAGTCTAAAGAACCTCCACATAATGCAAAGGTTTTATACCAGTTAAAAGGGACTCCTAGAACCATATGAGCCATGAATCATTTCAGAACCATTGTTTTTAAAAGTGTACTTAATGTATGGGTGGGCTAAAAGGCAAAAATATAACCTTATGATACTTCAAGACAAAACCTCTTTTTTTCTGAGGTTTGCGAGCAAGTTGATGAAGACAAAGTTAAAGAAAATCTACATAATGTAGAGTCCATATCAACTGACGTTTTTTTTTTTTTTGTCACCAGGTCAGCAATTGTATTGAAACCTTTATTTCTAAGATTGTAACTATCATATTGTCGTTGAAGATTTTCCTAGAACTGCCAAGTCCAAGCCAAGAACCATTTAGTAATCTTTATTTTTAACAGTGTAGCATCCAGTTTACACATAATTCAGCTGCAGTCTTAGCAAAAAGGGTTCTATAAAGTACTAAGAAAATATGTTCTATGACTTGTAACAGTAGCACAGCACTGATTTGTGCTATAGACAACAATTTTTAAAAGGTGCTTTATAAGAAGCATATACAACAGGTGCTCCATCATAGAGAAGCACTATTTAACCGTGCAAAGAACTATTTGTGTATTCAAATGGTTCTTCAAGTTATCACGGTTCTATAAATAACCACTCCCTTCAAATAAAGAATCACTGAAGAACCACTTCTTTTTAGGATATGCAACTCAATAGGCTGCACCAGCGCTGGATGCTTCAAATAACAGGGATCAGTGCCTTGGTATGAGAATAAAAATGAAGTAAGGTTTAAACATCAACAAGGGAAAGGATGGAATCAGGATGCCAGACATGATCCGTCTCATCAGCTGACCAGCTTGATACCATCAACCATCAAAAGTCCAACAGACCTATCAACACCATTTGATTGCAAAAAAGTCTCCTGATCGAATGAGCCAGACGCCTTCTCACTTTTCAATAACACAAAGCAACCAAGACCCTACTGGACCCAATCTGCATCCGGCGGCAGCTCGGGAAATAGCCGCTATTACATCAAATCTACAAATCCTGTGGATGCACAGCGCCGGACTAAAGGCTTTGCTGACACCGGAGAACCTGCTGCTGCATGACAAATAGATCATGCAAATGACCTTGTGCCGATTCAGAAGGGAGCGACCACATAAGGTGGAAGGAGGTAAACGCCATCCATCAACAATTGCTCTGTCCAAACACACGGAGAAGTCACTCATCAGGGTTCTACATGTACCCCCTGAACACAGTGAGATGCAGACAGCTTGTTCAAGCGCTGGGACGCAGAAAAAAAACACACATCTGACAAAATCTTTGAAGAATCTTTGGGTACGATACAAGCAAAAGAATAAACCAAAGCCATCACTCTGTCTGTCTGTCTGGGCACCTTCTTGGCTATCTATATAGGCGAGCCGCTGTCTCATCAATAATGCAGCAGAAGTTCATGTTTATGCAATGGAGAGCACATATGCATGCTAGGTATTGTACGTCCTGACAAGCCCCTCAACATGCACACGCACACACACCCCAAAGTCTAGTCAGACCCATATCCATTCGACAATTAAAACGGTCACAAAATGTTCAAATGGCACATCGCTGTCTGAGAGCGCGAGAGGGGAAAAAAGCATAGAGACACAAAAAGAAAAAAGGTATTAAATACTCACCTTTTCTAGCACTTCTTTTGATTCTGTTTTAATGCAGCTTCTTAGTGCTTCATGATAGCACAGCACACGGAAAAAAATAACTCTAGTGGCATGGTGATATGCAAATTAATGGATCACGCTGAATACTGGGGCATTTATTATTCATAAATTACTCATGTTTATGCAAATCAGGCTACACACAGCTACTGAAATGGGGGGTTGGTAATTCTGCCTTGTTGCAGATACAGACAACATTGGCTGCCTAGCAGGTTAAGGCTTTTTTGTCTTCTGATCATTTGTATACAACCAATTATTTGCTTTAAAAACCTGTTCCAGTATTATTTAGGGTTCACTGTGGTCATAGAACAGTCACAGCAGTGCATATTTGCCCTAAAACCTGCTTTTTTTTAATTATCCATGGATATATTGTGTTCATCTTACTCTAATGTGACTGAGGCAAACAGTAGTGGTCACTATGGTGGCTTAACACGACTTGTAATATTACATGAAAGCTTTTAAATTAGCAACTGCAGCCTAGCTGAGGTTAATCACTGTCACATCATAAGCCCCTGCAATATAAAATCACAAAAGCCTATGATATAATGAAAGTATTATAATATTTAGTATGTTTAACCAGATGTACTTGTTATAACAAGCATAATATATATAAAATCACTGGAATTTCCACTGTGTGATCTCCTGAACCTAGCGGACATTTGAGAAAATGACTGACATTCAGAAAGTCTGAAAAATTAACATTCATATTTTATGCAGATCTTCACAATATCACATTGAAACAATATGCAGCAATAGGATGTTTTGTCCATATCATGGCACTCAGTGAGGCACAAAGGCACAATATGTGCAACTAAAGCTTGTGAACCCAACACTTTTACAGTTCATTACAAACTATTTTCAAAAATTGCAATGCTAAAAAAAAATTTAAAAGAAAAAAACGAAACATTAACATAATGCACATGAGAATAGATGACCGACATTCAGTAGAACTAGCCAAGTCTAAAAAGAAAATTTACAAAGACGTTTGTGTACATTTCCATCCCTGACAGACTGGAACATTTGAAAATTCATTGAAATGGTGGCCAACATTGACCTCATGTGGCCATATGAGAAAGCATTTCTGCAAATATGTACATCAAAACATTACTTCACACTGGCCTACAAGTTCTTTGCTGCAGTTTTGCTTGTTATTTCATTTTTGTGAGGAATCTGCTAAAACAAACAGTGCCCAAAACAGTAACTTGGTAACTTAAACATCAATGGATGACTTGTTAAAGGTCTGTCATAACATAAACCTATGTAGTGTTAATTACAACTTTGAGTCCATCTTTTAGCACATAAATACCAAGGAGGCCTTTGTAGTTCAGCAGGCACCCGTTACCAAAAATACTGGCAATATGTTCCTCCATCAGAAGAGTGTTTACATCAGAAAAAGGATACTATTCACAAATCCAACCAATAAGAATGCAGAGTTTACAACAGTTTTGAAAAATTAAAATGAACATGGTGAACATCCCTCAATCTTCTCAGTATTTTCTTTGCCATCTTTTGTAGAAACTAGTCAGTGATCAAAACAAGGCATCCCTACTGAAGTAAAGTGGGAGGGAGGAGGGGGAGTGGTGTATACTTAACACTCAACCATGTCTCAAATGACTTGAGTCCCTTTTACACATTCAATTTTACATGGTAATTTAATGGTAATTAAATGAGATGGGGTTAGTGTGAATTTAAGCTGGAGTCAAAAGCCCTAGTGAGACTGACTCAGCGATTCCCGAGAACTAACTCACTGGAATTTACTGGGAGGACTTGTCTGAACAGAAGTCAATACTACAAGGTCTTGATTACAGACGCAAAAGTGGAATGTTCCTGAGCCTCTAGCTCTGACAGTGGTGAGTTTTCAGTTTTCGCGAGTGAAAACCATCACAGGAATGTATTTATTTTACTAGGGATGCATGATAACATCGAAATCGCATTTGCATCGGCAGATATTTGCCCTAAAATATATATTGGAATAGAACAAATGTTTAGATTTGACTGATATTTAATGATGTATTTTTATCCTCCAGAAAAGTGGAATGTTTCGGTTGCACTGGGCTAGAGTGGTAAAGTGTCTGCACTTTATTAATTTTACTGAATTTATCCATGTTACATTTCCCTTTAATGCTAATTCATTTGGATCTAGTACCGGTTTCTACATTTTCCAGACATGCACATGAAAAATATCAGCCATCAGCATCAGCTCATAATTCCCATATCGGTGCTGCCCCTTTTTATACATTATTCTAGTAGCACTGCTTTCAAGAAGCAGCAAAAATGACTTGCACAAAAGCGACACAGCATGGCCAGTAACACGAACTGTTTCTGTGATTTTGTTTCCAGATTTTGAAAGTGAAAAATACAGCATGAGTGTACTTTGCATATGATTCAGAAATGAAGGAGCTGTTAACGTTATTTGTTCATGCTGAGGATGTTACATCCTGCATAATGGAACATTCATGGCATTCATAAACGTGTACATTCCAGCAAAAGACTGTTGGGGGCTGCAAGTTTGAATGTATACTGGATTTCAAGTTTTTTAAACAATGTTTTTGTTTGTTTATTTGTTTTAGCTTGGTAAAATCGCTTATAAATTCTAGGGGCCATGATTTTTGGGGTTTATTTTATTAGAGGGTTATCATGGCAGGCACCAAAATTCTACGGAGTTCTCAGTGGAACTTAAGACATTTTTAACACATAAAACATCGAAAAACGAATCGAATATTGACCTTAGAATTGAAAATTGATGAATTTGAATTTCAGGATGTGTATTGTTACATCCCTACCATCCAGTAGTGCTTGCACTTCACATGAGAAGTGCTGTACTAAGCTACATAAAGCCACTAATGCAAAGTTGTCAACAGGGTCCCATTCAATCAGGCCAGGAAACTGTCTTGGCTTCCCTGAGCCATGGATCTCTTCACAACATTAGCCACCTCCTTCTCGAACTGGTGAAGCAGCTTAAAGTCTGAGAATCCCCTGTACAACAAGCCCGTAGCTAATGTCTTCATAGCCTCCTTCATCTGGTAAAGCGATGGCACGGTGATGGTCTGCATGCCTCCATTGATTTCAGCCATGACCACGGTGGGCTCGGTGGGCTCACGTTTTACTAGAGGAGGCTCATTCTGCTCCAAACGGTCCTCAGCCCGCTGGGCTACTTTGGCGTCTCTTTCCCACCCTTCGGTCTGTTGGTGCTCGAGGCTTCCAGCGCTTCCAGCGGCAGGTCGATCCCCATTGTCCGACTTTGGTCCCTCCATGCAGTCCGCATCGTCCGGGTAGATGTGGTACCTCTCCCTCACCGTGCTTTCTCGTCTCTTAAAGCCGCTGTACCACGTCGGACTCGCCCTAAAGTGCATCACCCCCATACGCACAGCCAGATCCATCGCCTTCCTGTGGATCATCAAGTCGGTTACCGGAGCGCCCTGCCTCCTCGAGACGTCGATCCAGCGCCACAGCGCGGCCTCCAGCCTCGGTACTTTACCGCAGCGGACGTGCTGGTCGCCCCTCATTATGAGGCTCCTGTTTCGCAGAAGTGTCCACAACAAAGACTGGGTGATGTTCAGGCGACTCGCCGCTTTCTTCTGGCTCATTCGGGGAAGCTGGTCATACATTTCCAGCAGTCTGCGCTTGTCGTCCATGGTGAATTTTCTCCTCGGCGCGGCCATGCTTGTTTACTCACGACGGCGAGGAGACGCTAGTGCGCATGCGTCACTTTAACCCATTACCGTACGTGGCTGCGTCCAAAACAGCAGACTACCATATTAAACTACCATGTTCTTTCGGTGACAAAATGACAAAACAGTGAGTTTTGTATCTTAATTTATCATGTAAATTTATGTGTACAAAATTTAAAAAGTGCACTGAAAAACATTATAAAACTGTTTATACCAAAGCTCCCTTATTTATTTATTTACGTATTATTGCAACATTTTGATCTCTATGGTCTCCATCAGGCAGTAAACGCAGATTTATATCAAAACAACAAAATATTCGAATTTGATTGTCAATAAAAGTATGAAAATTACAGGTAAAAATCTAACTGGTATTAGATGTTTATTCAAGGTACCACCTTATAATCTGAATCCCTTTAGACCAAGCAGAACATGCTCTGTGTCGTTTTTTCCCCTTGTTTAGCTAAATTCAGTTGTTGGTCACGAATGGGTTGAGAGCGTGTTTATTAGTTCCGCCCGCACGAAACGTCTCGATCTGTAATTTCTTCTCGTATAAAAGCAGTTGGGTTGTAAACAACATAAAATGTAGATTTTATTAGACAAGTCCACTTTATGTGTACGTAATGGAGACCATGCTTTGGTCGGATACGGTGCGCTAGGTGGCAGTAATACTGTTTTTATTGTCTTCAGTCCGCCGACGAAGGAGAAGTTAACTGGGTGTTCTGGTTTTAGTTCGAGCTTTGTTGAGCTCGGATCTGATGAGCTCCCACGTTCTGGTAGGAAAGTCAGCCTGCGGACACTAAGGTGAGATTGGCGTTGTTTTCCTGTGCTACAGAGTGTAGCATTTTGTCCTTTGAGTGAAATCAGATAGCAGATAAACAAGGTATGAACATGGCGAGCTGTCTGTCGCTGCGGTGGCTTCACCAGGATGCTCAGCTCTACTCTGGACCACCAGGAAAGAGGGCTTACCTTTAGACAGATCCTCCTTCTAAATCAACGAAGAGGAAATAGAAATAACGAGCAAACCGCCAAGGAAAGACTTCATAATTCAGGTCTCAGGACGTGTGTGTCTTATATTACCATAAAACACATTATCCTATATTTTGTGAGGGTCCTCACTTCCTGAATCCACTCCAGTCAGTGTTCCAGGTGTTTACTAATGACGTTTCCTTCTAAGCGTGCTTTCTTTCTTTACCCCAACTGAGCAAAACTGAACCTGAAAGATATGAGACCAAGTCTCATAAAGGACTGTTCTAGCTTTAATCCACAGGTTTTGATATCAGAAATTAATTTCATTTGTGATATCAAGAAAGTCCAGATTAAAAGCGAAAACGGCTTAAAATAATGAGTCAGCCTTCAGGTTCTACAACGTAGCAGGTTCATACCAAGCTGCTATGCACTTTGTCATGGTCCTCTTGATCTTAAGGGTAATATATAAGTGCTTATGTATCGGCATTGACAAATATGTACATGGATTAGATATTGGTGCATCTCTAACTTGCATGCAGTCCTCAATATGTGCTATTTCCAGTCTTGATAGTCATGTGTCTAGCTTCAAACTCGTATGGCTGTTCCAGCAGCTATATGACTAGCTATATGTTCATATACCAAGCCATTTATTTAATAATCACAATAATATTGCATATGATTTATATTCATAAGCACACTTACTGAAAATAATGGCAATTATTTTACAATTCAAAATCATGCAGCCCTGTTTTGTTCTTTATGTGGCCTGTACCCGTCCTATCCAAAGTGGATGAAACATGATAAAATCTAAATTATTACTGAGTTTGCGCGAGTATTGTCACTATCAGACACAATCGTAAAAAACAAGAACGCCAATAGTAGGGTTATAAAAGCTACTGCACACAACAATACACTAGCCAATAGCTAACTTGTGTTAATGTCTACAGCATCTCCAGCCATGTATCACAACAGCTCCCAGAAGAAATACTGGACTTTTGAAAATGAGGCAGCCTTGGAAGAATTGCGACAAGAGGCTAACCAGAAGTTTCGCTCAAAAGCCCTCAGTCTCAGAAAGGTAAGAACGGTTTTCAGTCTTTCGTGGATGACTGTGGTTACCAAAAATATGTCTTTGTTGGTAATTTATAACATTCGTGGACACTGTATGTCATCAAAGGTTTCTATGTAACGTAAGAGAAAAAGAGGGTTCTATTTATTAAAACAAAAATATCCACAAAATGTAGTGAATCTTAAACAGTATCACCCTGTAAGCGTGCCTGTGTGGGTATATGTATTTACATATTACACAGAATTGATAATTGCCACAAAATTTCCATCTGGAAAGATGAATAGCAGACAGATCTTGTGTATTTCGTAGCTCTTCTCCATTGCACACAGAAAAAAAAAATACTGGGACCTGGCTGTGATATTTGTATTGTTTCTAATGCTTTGCTTTTTTTTCCTCAACAGCCCGGAATAAATGATTCCATATTTCTTGATCCCCATGAAGAGAAAGTGCTTTTCAAGCATTATGAGAAGAGATTGCTGGACTTCTGCTCAATATTCAAACCTGCGATGCCCAAATCTGTGGTGGTAATTATTCAAATTCTATCAGAGACACTCAATGGCACAGTTACTAATCATTGATCTACTGTGAGAGTCCCACTACTGTAGCTAGTATTCAAACACAGAGATTCATTTTTATGCATGAAAGAGAGAGATGATGAATAAAGACAGCACTTGACTGTTTGGTCAGAGCCTAATGTCATGTATTACTCATCATTCTTCATTAAATATTTGTATTCTTCTGTTGTAGGGTACAGCCTGCATGTATTTCAGAAGATTTTATTTAAACAACTCTTTAATGGAGTACCACCCAAGGACAATTTTGTAAGTATTATGTCAACAGAATGACCTACCTATAGACATTATATGAAAAAGCAGATGATAATTTAATCTAGCAGGTCCTGGAGTACAGCTGCCCTGCATGTTGTAATGTTTTCCTGCTCTAACTAGAGCTGTCAAGATCATGTGATTTTAGCTAAATAATTACGATTAATGACTTAATTGTCTTTTCTTGTTCATTGTATGCACCTATTGAATTGGCCAAATTGGCTTATTAACCATCTTGCTTCCTAGTTATATATGCTTAGTAGCGCAAACAGGCTGTATAGCTAACAAATAAACATTACTTGTGCTACCATCTAAATCCGTTAGAACACACGTTAGAAGCTATAACTTTTTTTTGCTTGTGTAAGTTTCATGATGTCTCTTAATTATTGCATTTACTGCTTTCTTTTATTTACATGTTTTTGCCTTAACCCAACAAACCCAAATAACACTTTGCTTGTTATGGCTTAATGTTGTTGTGAAATCTAATGACTGGAAAATATTTGCAGTCAGCTTAAATAACTGCGATTATCTCAAATAACTGCGATTAGGTGATTGTGACAGGCCTAGCACCAACACATCCAGTTCATCTCAGGCAGGGCTTGTCAGTGGGTTTGTTAGCATGATGCGTGTTAGGAGCAGAGGAAAATCTAACATGCAAGAAATTGGTAGTTTGAGAACCACATGGTCATAAATTGGCTGCATATGATATGAACATCATTAACAACATATTGCTGTAGCTCATTGAATAGTTCTAAACTGGCTTTTTGACTGTCAGAAGAAATTTCATGTGGTAGTAAAGTTACTATCAGTGGAAATTATCTATCTGTCTGTCTGAAAATAATCACAGATGTTTTTCTGTTTATAGATTTTTAACAATTCAGTAAGTTAGGGATAAGTCTAGTGCATTTCTTGAATTAAAGGTAACAGATTTAAGAGCAGAACTTTTTTTTTTTTTTTCATTAGAAACTTCACCTTACTCCAGGGTACTCTTATCCTTTTGTCTTTACAGTTACTGAGTTTTTGCCCTTTCTCTTCGTTGAAGTCAATGACAGACTTGACACTTTCTGAAAACGTCTTCTCTTTCTGTTCTCTTACCTCTTACTCTTCTCTGTCCCTGTCCTCCACACACCTCTCCTCGTTCTCATCTTCATTTTTTTGTAGCTGAAAAGGACAAAAATACTCAACATCTTAATGCTGCCAACAGCAGTACATTTGACTAATTATAGCACATAAATATAGGTCTCTAGCCAGTCTTTGTATTTTCACTACAGAGTTAATTTAATACACTCCAGGGATTTACAAATACAAAACAGCAACTTAAACCCCAGTTCTATTTATTTTTCTTAAACATTGTTGATGCAGTTTCTATAGAAAGCAGGAACGTGGAGGAAACCATATAAAATATCTCCTTGAAGTTAGTGCCACTTTCATTGAAATTACCATTAACGTTAGCTGACTAACAGCTAGCTACCTAGCGGTTAACACAAGAACCGAAACAAGCTTTTTTTACGTCAAACGCGGGCTAAAATAACCATAACAAACAAACTCAACTGCTTTTTTTACATATGTGATTAAATGTACTTCGCTAGAATGTCAAACTCATTAAGTCATGTTTTATATATATTGTTAGATAACTAACCTAGCTCACAGTGAAAGGCTGTCATTAGCAGGCTAGCTAACTTACAGTTAAGTTAGTTCAGTATCATAATATATCGCGGGCATTTTAAATTTCTGTAAGTTAATTTTTCAAGAATAAACACATGAATTGTCAAGTAATATGACTTACATATAATAGATGTACAAATTATATCATCCAGGTTTAAGGTTATTAGAAGTCGATTAAGCATATTCTCCAAGGCTCCCATCGTACCCTACAAACGCCGCGAGCTAGTGATGAAGAGTCGATTCCGAATGAATCGATCCTTCGATTCCCACACGCCTGTGAGTAGGGGTGGACTGTTGGCCAATGACTCTAAGAATCGAAATGCTTGGAGTCGACTCTTCGGCTGTAGACTCCGTGTTTTATTCATAGTAAAAGGCTCGAGGGACTTTCTCACGGGGGCGAGTGTAAAGCTGGGAAGAGTCGGAGTAGCGTGAGTTTGGTTAATTAGCTAGCAGCTTTAAACGACGCCATCGCTGCTCACCAGCCGCTGTGAGCACAAACTCCGTTCACTGCAGCTCTTCATTTTCTCCGTGATTAGAGTTGCAATAAACTATAATTAGAAACGGTCCAAGGAACGAAAAGGAAAACCAAAAACGGCGTTTTTCACTGTTCCACCTTAAATGGCACTACAGGAACGTTCTGGCGACGACGCGCCGTTAAGGTGTCTGTTGCATCACTTAAGGTGGACCGGAAAAGTCGAACAAGAAGCTGCAGCCACTCCAGCCTCTTAAAAAGAGGAACATGATAATATCCAACTTTTTCTTTTTCAAAGAATTTGAGTTTTTTTGTGTCAGACATTTACATAAAATGCTAAAATCCACAAGCAAAATATTGAGTATCAGAATGTCCAAAATATGTTGCAAATACGAATAATGTTAAATCAAACGTATTGTTTTCAAAAAGATTAACTTGCTGCTCATTTTGATATAAATGTAATACTCATTTTGACAGTTTTTGCTTTAATAATATTATATTTGCAGATGTTTTTTTTTGCTTCTGGGATCCCTCTTTTGCTTCTGAAATTTTTCTTCTGAAATGATGGGGTCATTCTAAGTTAGTAAAACCACAAAGGTTCAATTACAGGTGATTATACACTAATGAAACCATGGTTTTATATATTATATTTGATTTCTGATAATAGCACCCCCTAAATTGTACTCACTGCACCTTTAAAAAAAGAGAAAAAGTTAATGAGCCCATACTTTGTGCTGGTACTCTGTACTAAAAGAATGTCTGTCTTACAAGTGATGGTTTGCTTCGATTGGGCTTTTGTGTTCTGCTTCTTTCACAGTTGCACTAAGAGGAACCTTTATTGTAAACTAGAGGTCACCAGTGTTCCACAAAGGGGCTGGTATGGCTGCTGGTTTTTGTTCCCATTAAGCAGGAGAACACCTGATTCTGCTTGTTTAATCAGTTGGTCTCAGTCATCAAACATTGGACTAGTTTTATGAGGTGTGCTTCTGCTAGGTTGGCATGAAAACCTGCAGTCAAACTGGCCTTTTGCAGATGAGGTTGATGTCCTCTGTTGTAAATGTTAACCAGGCATCACATGTACAGAGAAGAAATATACCATTTGTTTAACTGTTATGATATTTCAAAACAATGTAAATTAAAGAACTGAGAACAAACTGCTTGGCAACTGGCAACATGCATGCTGCGTGTTGGTGGGATAGGATGCTATCATGGCTGTAATGCTAATCTCTCAGCACTCTTATTTATTACTTTAATTAGGAATTTTGGTCCACTGTTCTCCCTTTAGGCTGACCTGTGCATACCTGTCCTGCAAGGTGGATGAGTTTAATGTTTCCAGCACTCAGTTTGTGGGGAATCTTCAGGAGAATCCAGCAGCTCAGGAGAGGGCGCTGGAACAGATCCTGGAATACGAGCTGCTCCTCATTCAGCAGCTCAACTTTCACCTGGTGGTGCACAACCCCTATCGGCCCATGGAAGGATTCCTCATAGACCTGAAGGTAGGATGGATGGGTTGTGTGTAGAAGTTGAATCTTTCATGTAACATAGAGCTATGGGTGGGCAGTGTGGCAAAACATATCATAATACTTGAAGACATTTTCACAATACATGATATTTATCACTGTTTTTCTGTGGTTTGGTAAGTTGAAACACAATGTACTAGTAGTGGCATGTTTAAAAAACGTTAGCAAAAATGATGAGTACAGTGAGTGTTTTACTGTGAGTGTTCAGTGTTTTACTGTGCGTCACATCATCCAGTCGGGGGTTAGTGATTTTGGGGCCCTAGGCAATAGCTAGGAATGGGGCCCCATGAATGTTAGTTTCTAAACTGTCTACACTGCAGAAAATTATATCTTGGCAAGCGAAATCATCTTAAATGTAGTTGTTCTATCTAATATGTCATTTTGAGTTTCCTCAAGGTTAACTTATTTCTAGACGTTTTCTACTTGTCATTTTATTTAATGAAATTATATCACTATATTGGTGTAAAATTTTGTTTGTTTTGCTTGAAACAAGTAGCCAATATAGTGAGACAGTTTGGTAGGTTGGTTGGTATTTGAGTTAGGTAGAAGTTGAGTAATGAGATCACTTTTTTTCAGGAAGTAGTAAGTAACATAATCCCGTTACAGTTTGAGAGAATGGATTACGTTTTTTGAGGACGTAGCCCAACACTGGAGCTATCTATGCTGACATTAAGGCTAGCGTTTTGTACGGTCTCCTGAGCCTGTGCCGCTGGACTTTTCAGACTAATTTCAAATAAATGAACATTCTTATAACAAATACACATGTTCATGGTTCATCCTAACCATGACTCAAAAATGACATTTTGTTCCAAAATTTGAGAAGCGTCAATGGACCTTGGCATTGAAGTTCATAATAAATTGTTTTTGGTTATGCCGTCTGACATTTGAGGAAGTAAGAAGCTGCAGACAGAAGTTTTTCAGTGAGTTGAGTTAAAGTTTTAAAATATAAAATCATGCCAAACTATTTTATTTAGAATTTCATTTGATTAAATTACCTTTTTTGATAGTTTAAATAATCAACATATATGGTTGTACGATTGTACTACCCGACATTGTTAGACTTTTTGAGTCAAAAAGGAACTGTTATATGGATGCACCAAACACCTCTTTTATGTAAAACAGTTTTGTTGAATAATTTGATGCTATATTTACTATGTTTGGGAAAATAATGGATACAAAAAAATGCAGGTCATGTCAACGATACACACACACACACACACATATGCAATAATGACATCCACAGTATTGTGATATCACATTGTCATATTGCTCTGCCCTACACAGAACTTGTAATGAAGGTTGTGAGTTCATTGCTAGAGACCCAACCATTCAAATTAACATATCTACAAGATCATTTTCAAGGTGTGATTATCAGAAGTGATATGATCTTTCTCTAGACGAGATATCCACTGTTGGAAAACCCAGAAGTGCTGAGGAAGAACGCAGATGATTTCCTCAACAGAGCCGCAATGACGGATGCTGGGCTTCTTTTCTCACCCTCGCAGATTGCCCTGACCGCTGTGCTGAACAGTGCAGCTCGTGCTGGCCTCAACATGGAAACGTGGGTTCACTAAATGCTGTCTTATATGGAGCTCTAAAACAGCATTTGTTTTAGAATGACTGAGGCAAAGTTGGAAATATCGAACACTACACTGTTCCTGGATATTTTGATTTATGTCCAATTGTTGTACATCACACTTGTTAATGATTGTCTTCAAGGCGGTATTTCACTGCTAGCCAGATAACCTAAGCCCAAAATCCAGCCTTACCAATAGGAGAAGAGTTAAGGGATGTTCCTGTTGGACAATCCTCATGCTGGGCTCAAATAATCCAGTTTACTAAGAAATCCTGTTTTATGAAGTCCCCAGAAGGAACATCTCCTGGAGCAGTGTTGGTGTCCACAAGAGGGCATATCAACATGGCTTCATGGGGAACTTTCTTCATTGTACCATCTGAGATTTGTTTACATATGAAACACAGATAACGATTCACTGTCTCTCAGATAATAGTTATTTGTCCATAATCTTGCAAGTCTCAGAGAACTGCTCTTTACTCTTTCCAGATACCTTACTGAGTGCATGGGGCTAAAGGATAACAAGGAGACCCTCTCAAAGATGTATGATGCCATGAGGCGTAAGTATTTTTATCGTTATTACGACCTGATAGCATATCAAAAATCAAGTCAAAATGCTTTTGTGTCAAGAAATGCAGGATGATCTTTTTGAAATTTTAGGAATAACAATTCTCATTAAGGAATATGAGCTTCCCAGAACAGACGAAGTGAACATCTACAAACAGAAACTGGAGAGGATTCATGCTGAATGCGCCCCAAACACAAATTTGTAAGTACAAAACATGTCATTGTGTGTGTTTACATGCACTTAATAATCTGATAACTGCAGAAAATCAGATTTTGTCAGTAATCCAATCAACGCGTTTATATACACTTGAGTAATCAGATAATGAGGAAACTCCAGGTCTACGAGTCAGGCAGTAATCTGATTTCTACTTTGCAACCAGCCAGTAAACTCACTGAAGATGATGTGACGCAAACGTAACGTAAACTCGAACTCCATGCTGTGGCTTTAAAAGAAACATTGCGCCACTTCACCTGAAAATAAGAACATGCATCATCTAACAAATAAAGAATACCATCTCACGGCAACGCTGCTTATTTCTAGTCCGTTTTTGCACATGTGCAGACTGAGAAATCTGAAAGAAATCAGAGTAAGGGTATACATACAATTATTCAGCTAAAATCCAGCTCTCTCTCTATCAGATTTTTAATCGGATTTCTAGATCGGAGTATGCTGTTTTCATGGCCATTTTAATAATCAGATAAAGACAGAAATGATCGGATTATTGAGTGCATGTAAACACATTCATTTATAGCAGTGATTCTCAAACCGGTCCTCACTGACCCCACAGATGGTCCACATTTTTACTCTATCCCATCTGTTGCAAGTTAGGTTGGAACAAAATATGATGGTCCCCAAAGACTGGTTTGAGAACCACTGATTTATGAGTACACATTTATAGATGTAAGAATTGATACTGGTATTTTAAAAGGACGCACACAACAGAACTATAATACAAACAGCTTTATTCAGCCTGGTCAGTCGTGTGGTGTCTTGGTATCTAAGATGCAAAAGTTGTGAATTGGTTTGTCAAATAGAAAAATAAAAATACATGAGCTTTCAGAAATTCACAGGAGTCATATTACATCAGTGTCATGCTGTTTCTCAGGTCAGTTAGATCACTGAACACAGCTAAGCTACAGTAAGTTTAATGAAGGTCGTTGCCTTGCAGCTACAAAACAGGAATATTTTGGTATACAGTGAAATCAAGTTTGTGGAGGTAAGTACATGCCTAATTAAGCAAAAGTTTTTTTTTCCTTTTCTTTTCTTTTCAAGACTACCTGGACAACTAATCACATACAAAAATGGTTTGATTCATTGGCAAAGCTGTGTAAACAGGGAACAAATATTTTACCTTCACAAAATTGACCAGCATGATGTCAGGGAAGCGTAAAGAGGTGTTACACAATGTAAAATCAAGATATACGGATATCATTTCTTGCATAAATCGCACTACGACACCATCCTACTGATTATGTACTGTGAGCAAAGGAGTTTGTAAAACCCAAGGCAGTCAGTATTGCATTTCTTCATGACGACACTAGGGCAATTCCCTAAACCACCATGTCAGTTTGACTGCAGTCAGTTTAGAAGTGATGCAGTCTACATTAAGTTTCTCAGTCACAGATTAGGTGTGAGATCTGGGGGGGTGCAGCTTATCAATGTAAACACATGCACAGAGCATGGAGGGGTGGCAGGTAAGGGACAGGAACCTTATCTTTCCGTCGTACGTTTTATCCACCGTGTACATCGCGCAGATGCTGGTTTCTAGATAAAAAGCCGAGGTGCAGCATTTCATCAAGCAAAGCAGCTCAGGAAGAGTTAGGATAGGCTCAGCTGCTATCTTTATAGGCTGACGTCTCCAATCGAACGCAGGAAGAGGTTGCATGGTGACATTTGAGTGTAGTAGGTTTCTTAAGGCTTGTATTTCAGGTGCTTCTCGCTTCCCTGATGATTCTTGTCCACTCTAAACAGGGCTCAAGTGCACACTGCAGAGCTCCCAGAGTAGTCTCGTACCCTGGGCTGCTATAGGCAGCTGCATTTTTTTGTAATCCCTAATTATCTGGTATGTAGGGGGAGAAATCCAAGTTGATTCCAAGCAGTCCTTAAAAATTTAGAAGGATCTAACTGCACATGAAGGACTTTAGAAAGAAAGCTGTTTTAGAGAAGTTTCCAGGGGAGAAATTGGCAAAGGCAGAGGCTTTTCATTTTAGCCCTGAAAAACATTGCAGTTCAAAAGCCATTTGTCCACACAGCAGTGAGGTTTTAAAAGGTACCCTGCCTCTTAGAGGACCACCTTCAATAACCTGTGTCCTCACATGAAGAAATGAGTTTATTTTATTGGGGAAAGTGGTCCCAAAGTTAGAACCCACAAAGTCACTGGTCCACAGCTGTAGCTTTGTCCCATGTTTGGATGAGTCCGTGCAGCAGTCATTCGTATCAGAGGACCTGGATAGTGGCGGCCATAATGGTACATTCAGGTCTGTAAAATTTAGAAAGGTTTATGCATCAAGGAACTGGCTGAAAATTACAATAATTGTCTCTATTAATGGTCTGTGCAGTTTTAATTATAGCCTAAAATTTATAGTAGGGAATTTTACCTAATAACAGAGCTTGTGAACTGCTTGTAGATAAGCAAGACCAATCAGAAGCAACTATATACTGACATGATGTGTAAATTATGAAACAACCAAAACTAACTGGCCTTTTGGCACAGTACATTCAGCTGTCAGGCCTGAAGCCACAAAGAAGTGGCACCTGGGCTCAATTCATAGAAAACAAACTCAATTTAAATTCCATTCATTCACAATAGTGCTTTGAAAATCACAATTAGACATTTTCCACAATAACTGTCGTTCGCCCAAAATATAATTCACCTATAAGTGTAAATACATAATTTACAGGTTTAAGTATTAAATAATCATACCTACCTTGTTGTGTTCTGGTGAGGTGACTCAGTTATCTACATCTAATATGAAACTACAAGAAGACATGGACATGAGTCTATGACTACACATGGAGGATATAGAGGGAGGAAGGCTAGCATGCTCAGAGATGTGTAGGGGTGATGCTAAACTAAGAAATACAGTATCTACGTAATCACATCTCAGAAGAGGCATGCTAGGAATATTCTAATGGGGTCTTCATGAATGTATTCTGTGCCTCTGTGTCCTCCAGGAAAAGAAAGCATGGCTATGAAGATGATGACCATGTTGTGAAAAAGCCCCTTGTTACTGAGGAGGTAAGTCATGACTTCTGGACCTCCCTCAGTTCCCTTGGAACAATCTTCATCTGTCATATGGTGTCTAATGAAAGCTTATCATCTGTAGGAGTGGACTGATGAAGACCTGGATGTTTTGTGACGAGAATACCTTGTCTTCTCAGGAAAAAGCTTTATTTTATGAAGACACATTCCTGAGTTTGACAGTTTTACACAGCTACTTAATCCACGAGTGAAGGGTAAAGCCAGCCTTTCTGATTTTGCCACTTAGTCCTACAGACACATTGTGTGGAGTTTTTTTTTGTGTTTTGTAAATACCTAGACAATATTTGTTGTCTTGTTATGCTGATTTATTTACTTTACTGAAAATAAAATTTTTGTACTTAGTTTCATATGAAATGTTCTTTAAAATGGTTCACAAGAAACATAGTTAGTTACAAGAATGTAGAAATGCTTGGACATTAGAAGACAAGAAAGACTTTAATTTCTCAGAAATTACACTTCCTTTACACTTTACGCCCAATCTGAGAAAGAAGTCAGTCAGTACTTTATAAAATGTTTAATAAGTGCATGCATTCCTGATACAGTCTGTACTATAATAATTTTTACTGCTGTAAACATTTTATTTATTCTTCCCCTGAGAACAAGTCTGGCTTTTCAGTTAATCTCAGGGAAGACTGAACCAATCAAAAATATTGCAGGGAATGGGGGGAGTGGATTTACTCAAATTATATACTCATGATTCCAGCAAGAGAATTTATTGTTCTGATATAAAATAATCATACTCTCTTTAAAATATCCAGTCTACACCACAATCATAACTAAATGAAACGAAGAGAACACTAGTTTGAGCACATTTTGCATATTCATAACCTTGTAAATCGGTAACAAATTACAGTATAAAAAGCATTGTAGCTCATAATCCAGTTACAGGAGATCGCTGCAGCTTCGTGTCAGTCGAGTTTTCATATCAAGCAGACAAAAAGAAAACGCTTTGGCAACCGTTGTTCAATGGTACTCTGAGCATCATGGTCACTATTCGGACCCATTTTGGAAGAAAGAAAAAAAAATAAATGTACCCATGATGTGGGGCACAGTCAAACTGAAGTTGCTGTGTGAATAGCTTAAGAAGTCATTGGTGCAGGATTCGGGCCCCAGGCTGTTTTGTTTTGTTTCACTGCTGTAGTTGCATAGTTCTTGTGGCGTGGCGGAGGAAGGGGAGGGAGAGTGAGGAAAGAGATGGGGAGAGGTTGCCATGGTGATGAGGGTGGAGCATGCTGGGATCCCACTGGCTACTCCATGGAGACGGAGACAGACTGAGTGACAGACAGAGAGGGGGAGATGGAACTACCTGTTGCTGTTGGACATGGCGTACTGCGCCTGTTTCTGCTGGAGGAGCTCAGTGATGGCCAGCAGCTTTTTCAGCACATGCTGCAGAGAGAGAGACGAACATTAGAGTTAACAGGAGCAGGGGTTAGAAATGGTACAGAAAACAAACTGTACACGAGGAATATTTTTCATAGAACACAACTGAAAACACTGGAGCCCAAACAGCATTTTACACATATCAAATGAGTATTCAAATACTCGCTCTGACAGTCACCCTTAAAAACAATCATAATGAAGCTTTTTTGTTTTTTTTAAGCCTCATGATGTCTCATTATACACATTTACGGTTTTATTTACATTCATTTGCCTCAATCCAGCAAACCCAATCCACATTTTGTTTGTTACTACATAATATGAATGTGAAATCCAACAACTGTGGAAAATGACTGCGGTCAGCTTAAATAATTGTGATCATCTCAAATAATTATGATTAGGTGATTACATAATAATTGTGACAGCCTTACATGAAGCAGTTGCGTGACAGCTTTTGTGGCTTTAAAAAAGACAAAGCTTCTAAATACTAAATAAACGAATACAAGTATAACGAAATAAATACTTCAGTGTTGCCATTATTTGGGCCAGCCTTAAAAACAGGTAAAAAACGGAGTAAAAACTAGCTACTTTAAAATGTTATCCAGGTAATAACATTATGTTGTTCTGGTTCATTTTTATTGGAGCAATTTAGTTTGATTCATTCTGATCAGAAAGTTTATTTTCTGTAGAATGTTAAATAAGATTCCTCCAATACAACATTATACATATCAGAACTATTAAAACAAATCAAAAACACACCAACACCAAATCAATTTCTGCTACTTTCAATAAAAACCAAATTTTATTAACCGGTTAATCTTACGTTTTTGTTCCGTCGGCTATTTCTAATCCCTGAACAAGAGTTTGATTAAGCAGCCATTTAACTGGAGTTCATGTTTTTAATGAAGTACCTGTGGAGGACCCCTGCTTTGGCCAGGCACGTTTAAATGAATGTTCTCATTTGAAACCTTTGGCTGCACAATGATCCACAAATACCTGCTGTGCTCCTCTCTCGTTGCTGAGGGTGCGGAGTTCATCCGAGTGAGTAGCACAGATCTCATGCAGGGCAGCAAGGTCTCGGGACAGATCAGTCCTAAAGTGCTCTGTAGCATCGGGCAGGTCAGGGACATTCTGAAAAGAACAGGAGAGAACACCTGTTACCAGCCTCCCTTTACCAGAGCTCTACAATGAACTTGAAGGAAATACTGCAGATTCAGACATAAATTAACGTGGTGGTTCAGCCTTAAATCTAATTTACACAATTTTCCCCATTACTCCAAAATGTAGATTATCAGTCAAGATATGTTTGGCATCTGAAGTTTACTTTAGTAATGTAGCTAACAAGTAATGGAAACTTGTACCCACCAATTTGCACTGCACAAACTGCATGCCTAAATCGTCAAACGCTTGCCTGAAACCATTTTATGTCATCTCAAACTTTGCATAAAATGATTTTTGGCCTAACTATTGCTTAAAGCCGACCACTGAACTTAACTGTCAGCAGTGATTTCACTGAAATTTCTTATATTCTTTTTTTTTGTTCTGTGGTCTAAACTTCCTCTGCATGCAGGAACTTCTGTGTTACATTACATGCAGCTCACCCCCAACTCATCCAGAAACATGATCATCCGTTGTTTGTTGTTCTTAATGAATGGATTCACTCCTTCCATGTAGGGCTCCTAGACCACAAATAGAAAGTATCTCAACATCCTCTTTTACCAAAAACAACATGCACTCATCTACGTGTGTTAAGACAAACCTTGGCACCAAACTCCACCAGATTGGCCAGGTTCTGGACAGACTTGGCCACCAGGGTGAGCGTTCGGCCTGCGGTCGGGGATGGAGGGTCTACAAAAGAACATGCACAAAGTGCTGTTACATTGACTGCCTTTCTTTTTCTATTGGCCTCAGAATAGAATACCGCTACCCAAGTAAGCACTCGGCTTTAATGTTCCATATCCACAAGCAAGAGTTCTCATTATGTAAGCTGTGTCCTTACCAGCGATGATGTTGAACATTCTGGGGTTGAGAATGGCAGGGCAGATTAACCGCAGGAAGACAAAACCACTGCGGACAGACCGAAATAGAATAATCTTACTCAGCTGAAACAGACGACTATGCTGTACCTGAGGGTTAGCGACAAAAAAGTCTTTAAAAAGAAAAAATGTTGTGGCTTACCTCACAACTCTGGTCCGCATTGTAGTGTTAGTGGGCCATTTCTGCTGCACAGACTTCTGCAGGCACCCGTATATAAACCTCAGAGTCCTGCGACAGTGAAAGCAGAGGAAGGATACAACAGCCAGTCTCAATACCAGAAGTCAAAAACAAGTATAACTCATCTCAACACAAAAGCTCCATGTGTTATTTTGCTTACGGAGGCAGGATCTCAGCAGCCATGAAGATTTTCTCCACCAGCTCAGAAAGGATGGTGAGCAGATGTGTCAGATTCAAATTTACATCCTCGTTCTTCTCCAGTTTGGACGGGTTCAGCTTCAGGGGAGAGAGCAGGAAATACTCAAAGTTGGGACAATGGTTTGACCTATAATAAACTTCCAGATCAGGCAGTAGATTCATTAACATAGATCAGCTGCAGACTGAATTTAAATCGGTGCACATTTTCAGCAAAGCAGGGGTTACAGGACAAACATAAGAAGTTGCTGTTTTGCACTGAAAAGGTAGGTGCTACAGTATGTTATCGACTGCATCATATTAACATGTTCAATGCTACTTTCACTGTTACAGAAACTTTAACACAGCAGTAAAAGTAACAGCAGAATCAGAAGAAAATGCCAGACTACATCATCCACGAGGAACTAAAGAGTATCATCCCCAAAAATGTACTATGCTCTATGGACAAACCTCACAAGACTGCTTGCTTTCCATAATCTTGAGAATGGTGTCTTTGAGGGCATGGTGGACGAAAGGTGTGGCAGTGGCCTTCATGTACTGCTCCATCAGAGTGCTGGCCAGTGTGGTGGCACGGAACAGAGTGGTGGCTTCATCTAAATAATAATATAAAAAAAAATAAAAATACTGCAAGTCTTTTCACTTCATTCACATATCTACCACAGATTGTAGTAGGCTTGTTACAGTGTCACAGTTAGTCATAGTGTAAGATTGGACGGTTACCTCACCACTTTCTTTACCATGACACTGATTAAAATGCATTTCGTCTATTTGTCTATTCCCATCTACGAGTGATAAGTCCTTAAACCAGTGATACTGTCTATTTTAGCCCTGACCCTTTCATTTGCAACTCACCCTTAAACACTCTAGAGCAGCTTTCTCCACATATCTCCACTCACAGGGGATGTTAACCTCTTAGCACCAGTAGATGCAACATTGCAAGTTAGTAATATTATACATGTAGCTACCACATGCACAAAAATTGTGGCATTGCTGGCCATAAATGAACCAAACAACAAATCTGCGTATGTCCAACAACTCTTTCGCAGCTTAATCATTTTGCAATAAGCAACATGCACAGTTTTTATTAACCTTTTAGCATAATTAGCTAAAATGAAATGTAATGTTGACTTACAAAAGTTAACTGTTTGGTTTAGAGCTAAACACTGCTGGCCAGTAGTTTTTTTTTTTTTGCTTAGTCTGCGCCCTCCTTCACTCGCATTGTTTTGGTTTGCATTGCTTCTGCAATTTGCCAAAATTAAACTGAGAACACAGTGACCTACAAATATCTTGAAATTACATTACATTAAATAATTAAGGCTACTATTTACTATTTCTAATAAAAATATAAATTTGTTAATTTTTTTTTCTTATTTGTTTCATACACAATTTATGTGCAAAGAAATGTTGCACTTGAAGACCTCAAAGAAAATGTGCTCAAAAAGTAAAGACATGTTCAAAACTAGTGTGCAAGGATAACGGCAATGTAGCAAGTTCAATAAATGCATGTGAGAGTGGTGAGTTTCAGATTTTTAATAATTTACCTATCATTTTAGCCACCTTCTTGTGCGTTTCAAATAGTATCTTAGTACTGTGATACCATGAAAGCATGACTTTTTTTGACTAGGTTATCATACTGTGGAAATGTCAATCCGTGACACTACCTTGTAGGTTGGGCTGGGCAAAGAAATCAAACCTGCTGGGAAAATGTTAACATCATTTATACTGTTCAGGGCTATCCTATACCTTCCATGTTTATCTCTCGGTCATTGAGAGTCCTCAGCAGGGGAGCCTCTGCTCTTTCGTGCCTGAAGATCCTGAGCAGGATGCTGGCCAGCAGAGTGCGGTCCTGACCACAAACATGGGCCAGCGCATAGATCACGTGAAAGTCTTTTTGAAGGATGAGCTGTAGAGAGTGCAAACAGAAGGGTGTTTATATTAAAAACACAGAAAAAAGATGACTTTAGACAGAAAGATTAAATTTTGTAGAAATCACTATTGAATAATGTTGCTTATAGGCAGAATGAGGCACAAATTTAACGCAGTCTCAAAAAATGTAGTCCAATTTAGTCCTGTTCTAAACTATGGACTAGACTAAGCCAAGTGAGTGAGAGAATGGGCTAATGTATTAAAATATTTACTTGGCCATGAACAGTCTAGTATTTAAAGAAAGGAACATTTACATTTACATGCTAATACTGCGTTTTGCATATTGTGGCACATGAGGTCTGAGGCTCCTACCTCTTTGAATTCATTGTACTCCTCCTCTGGCATGATTTTCTCCATGGAATAGCGTGCTCGCACCCGCAGGGTACCTGGTTCGATTCCCTTCAAAGGCACGTGAGAGCTCAGAGGGAACCACTCGTCAATCATCTGGCCCCTATGCAGCCGGTTCAGCTGGCAGCGCATAAACACTGGATGGACAAACACATGGTACTTTAAGTATAACTGAACTTTTTTTGGACAGCAGAGGGTGCTCTCGTGCAAAGAAAGGGAAGCGTGTCTAAGTCACTATTAATGCAGCAGTGACTGAAACCTACAGAAGTAGTAAAATAAACTGTAAACTAACCAAAGTACAACCAAAAAAATATATTATTGATATGTTGTGATCATTTAAACATAAAGCGCCAGTATTATGCATATAATATATAATGCATAATATTTATTAAGTTATTTATTTAATATTGCTTTAGTATTGCTTCAACTACTCCTAATGTACCATTATCGTAATCTGTGGTGAATATAATTTGAAGTAGTTGCACTTAATTCCAACTAATTAACTACAAAACATGAAACAAACAAGTCTAGTTTCTCTGATTTGGTAGTAAGTAAAATGGATGAGCTTGTCCAGGAGTGTTTTTTTTTTTTATTTGCCAGTGGGCTGATTTTGACGAGAACCACTTTAGGAAAATGAGCTGGATGATCTATGTACTTGCAAACTGGTAGTGTTACCAACCTTGCTAATATCTGCTTTCTGCACAGATGGCATGCAACGCTATTAACATTCAGTGGTTCTCCACATTTGGTTGGAAACCAAAATATTGCCAAATTGACAAATTTTAAATTAAGTAATATTAGAATGGTAATGTTGGTAATTATGTGTTGATGTACTGACATCAGAAAAATCTAAGCTACAAGATAAGGTAATGCTCTAATGCGAACATGTGATACTTCAAAACTAAATTTGGATGATACTGTTTATCACAATAAGTCTGCAAATGGTAATTATCTACATTTACATTATGATCCAAGCTTACTGTGCACTGTTCTTTGCCCACTATTCAGTCTAATGTGTTGCTTACTATGGTTTCAACTGAATCTGTGTGAGATTTGAAGTGGTATCCATGTACAGTTATACAGTTGGTTTCAATTGTACACTTACAAATGTCACTTTCTTTGCTCTTCTTTGTTTTGTTGCTTAGGCTGATTTCAAATCTGTTGATTTCACTGGATAAGTCACTGAAAGAAAGTTAATGAGATGTCATCATTCTCAGCTGAAAGGATTTTTCTTGACACTGAACCATTTCCAAATCAGCTCTCCTGTAGCCATAGACTAAACAAGTCAGAATTAAGTACATTTCTACTCACTCAAAAATGAATTCTTCTGTGAATACAGGGTTCTGGCCCTCTCTAGGGTGAGTCTTGGCTACCTGCACACTGTTCAGGTAGATGTTGCAGTAGGGGTTGGTGAAATGCTTAATGGGAAGTTTGTGGGCCTCTTCCACATAAAGCACTAAGCTGCTCACCTGAGACAAAAGGATGAGGATAGCTGTATATTTTGATACACGATTGATATGAGTAACTAAATCAACCAATGACAAGCACTGAAGTAGTATACAAACAAATCAGTGCCCCTTACTTGACGTAGACGCTTGTTAGAGGGGGCCTGTGCTGGCTTCCTTAGGTTACTGCAGAAGGTTTGCAGACATTTCATCCAATCCTATAAATATTGAACAATATGGTCATACTGAACATCAGTGTCAGTGATAGAATGAACAAGTGAGGCGCTCCTACAAACCTGGGCCTGCTCAGGTATGTCTCCTGCAAAGTAGAAAATGTACTGCTCCTCGCTAAAGTGCTGAACCACGATCTGGAAACAGTTTGGCCTGCACAACAACACATTACACTGTCACACACGAGAAATTACTTTATCAACTCATAATGTCCTCAAGTGCACTGGAAACTGCACTATGAGAACAGAAGGTGTTGGTTACCTGCCAAACAGACTGTCATGCACTCCATACACAGAGCACACACTCAGGTCAATCAGCCCTTTGGGTTTGGTAGCACGCTTCTCGCTCTCAAAATAGATGAGCTGAGCATCGTTGCCCTCCAGGATGAAGTACAGGTTCTTCCAGCGCTTTCCTTTGCCTAGAATGACAAAAACATGCGCTTAGGGTACCGTTCTAGAGTCTCAAATGTAGGCTTTAAAGTACGGTATACTGCAAAATATATTGTTTAAAGACCATTATGTACTGACCACAAGAAAATGACATGCTTTACAAGGCTACCCCTGGACCTTTATTACTGCAGCACAGGATTCATACTTTATGAAACAAAACTTCTTATCTCCAAAATCTTAACTTTAATATACATTAATGCAACAATATTTAAGTCATTTTAGACCATTTCTGTTGTGCAGTTTGTCATGAAATGTTCACACAATGTAAAGAGCAGCTGATGTGCTCAAATGGTGTTTAAAAAAAAATGAAGTTAACAAGGCTTTTTTGACGATATGCTTTACGGTTGGTTTTTGTTCCACAACATATCAATATGTCCCCCAAAAGAGATATTTCCTCAAGTGTCCAAATCACTAAAAGAGAGCCAGATGCTTTGTTATACAAAATTTGCTAAGTTGCGCCTTTGTGACTTTTGCTCTTTTCCCGCTGCACCACTCAGAGCCCTGCTGAGCATCTGTGTGGGATGATCAAAGGGGGCTCCACGAGGCTATGAAGGTTTCCTTAAGTAACATCAGCGCACAGCTTATGTTTGTTACAGAGTGCCTGATCTCCTTTTTCATCAGTTTTGTCCTGCTGAGTGAGAGCAGAAATTGAATACAAATGCATTTCAGTGTTTCGAATCAATTTGATCCATGCAGTAAGTGCTGCTAAAGTGAATAAAAAGACACTGGGCTTGTGCAGTTGGCTGCCATTCAGTACCTTTGTTGAACAGGAGGTATCCTTTCTTGACAATGTTTTTGTAGAAAGCATCTTTCGTTTTTCGCCGGATAGTGTTATAAATTTCTCTTCCGTCGACAGTGTCAGACAGCACTTGTTCTTGTTGCTGAAAACAAACAGGAAGTAAAGTGAGTGTGTTATCGAAAACAATAGTCAGCTACAAGAAAAAAGCAGTTCTGATTTCACTTACCTGGACTGAAACAGGATCTTTCAGGTTATAGCCTTCTACAATCTGCTCTTTTCTGTAATGCTCGATGATATCATCAACACTGCCAAGAAAAGCATTGTGGAAACACTATTAAAGACCACCATGGACTGACTGACTGCACTTTCCATTACTGATTACAAAAAAAATGCCCTTTTCCCAATATGGTCATTCTTCACCTGAACAGATCACAAAATCCTGAAGGTATATTATTTTACTGATGGCTCTAACAGACTTACTTTATGAGCTACCTAAAGGAACACCTCATTGTAAAGTTCTACAATAAGGGAATAAACTTAAGATCAAATTTTAAAGGACAAAGCGGAATGCCTTTTGAAAAAGGACACTCAGATCTTTACTATTCCCATGAACTAGCACTAGCATAGTAAAACGAATCACTTGCGAACCATCATGTAGGGAACAGTCCAAACAGAGGCTTTACTTGGGAAAGTTGTAAGTAGGACTACAAACCAAGGTTCAGTTTATAAACACAAACTACTGCTGTAACGAAATCAATATTTCAATAATATAAAAACATTCTGGTTGAAAAACAATGTGTTCGATAATAAGAGAAAAAATAAGAAATAATAAGAAGAAAAACAAGAAGAGAAGTAAAACACTAGGAAACTGGAAAAAGGAAAGAACTTTTTAAAATGTGTCCAGAATGGAGCTGTAGATGATTGTAAATGACTCAGAAAGCTGCATAGCTTCAAAGATGAACTTTTAACTTTTTCTTAACTTCTTGAGGTTTCCAAAATGTTAATATAAAATACAAAATACATAAACAAATGTAAAATGTGCATAAATATATACAGTACTGAATAAAACATCTAAAATACTTTGGCATCTAATTTTTAATATTTCCAAGAAATTATTATTTATATAAATAGATGAATCAGGGCACGCTGATCCTAAATTAGCACTACAATGATAAGGCGGTTGAAAATAAGCACTAATGAAAAACCGATAGGGGCAGATACACATATCCACTTTTTTTTTTTACATGGCCACATCTGCTGATGCCAGTACAAATGCTGAGAGAAACATTTATAAAATAGAGAAATTGGGACTAGAGCCACTTGGATTAGCAGCACAGAGAAACAATCATTTATTTCTGTAGGGTTACAAAAGCACTTTAATATTGAAAAATCTAAATGTCTGTTTAATGCAGATATTTTGTATATATGATTTGATTCTGAAATCTTTGTGCATCTCTAATAGGTACACTATGTGTCTTTATCCATGCCCTATAGTTCTATGGTGTGAAACCTGTTAAGTGAGACATTAAATGTGAATGAACATGAATTCCCAGTTAAACTCCCTTTAATGGCAGAGCTATGGAGGGGACTGTCTGCCTGTTCCTCAGGGGAAGCCCTCAGGCCTTGCCACTGCACTTCAAAGACATGGCCTTAGGACATACCTGTTGTAGTACCTCCCCCCCATCATGTACTGGTTGTTCGGGGTGGGGCAGATTTTGAACCTTTGGATGCTCTCATTGGTGCGGAAGAAAAGCGAGTAGTCCCCTGGCGTGTTGTCCGATGGCCGCACCAGATAGCTGCACACCTGGCCCACTAGAGGGAGAGAACGAGGGGAATACGCTGTGATTCACATGCTGCCCTCATAATGCTATAAAACAGTTATGAGGCAAAGAATACAGTAATAAAGCAATGATAAATGCTGATGTCATGCTGTAATGTAATGAGGGTATGTGCCAGAGTGAGGTTGACAGACTGAAGTTAGCCAACAAAGGAAGTTCACCATGCTTTTCACAGCAGATAATCTTTTTATGGTTATGATGCAATTTCCGAACCCACACACACACACACACGCACACACACACACACTACACAGCTGTAAATGTCATTCTTTATAGTTTAGGCTTTATTACTCAGTTTCAGTCAGTTTGAGCACTAAGTGTCCTGCACTATGGTTGAAAAAAATGATCAAGATTGCAAAGGAAATTAACTCAGCACTGACTTGGCACTGCTTGTGTGTTCATTTTACATTGAATAATTACTAACTTGATAATAATAACTTGAGTTGAAACATGGAGGTCTTTATGGCATTTTTCTATACAATTAATCTATACAGTTGCATGTGCATATCAGTCACTGCATATTAAATATACACACCTGTCATCAGCAGATTGTATGCCTCTTGCTTGCTGATTTTTCCATGGTACCAGCTACAAAGACAAAGAAAATATTAATATAATAATGTTATAAAATTAGTGCATGTGAGTCAGTTCTGAGTCAAGGTACCTTTACTCAGCTCATGAAACATCAAATCTGAAAGAAGCAATCGCAGGCACCTCTCAACAGTACTAACTTTTCATATTATCTGGTTAGATTTATGGCCTGTAGCTGCTTATCTCAAATATACAGTGCTGTGCAAAAGTCCGAGATCACCCTTTCATTTATTTAATCTCCAGCCAAAACGGCCATTAGGTACAAGTTATTCATCTTTCAGTGTCAGAAAAAAAAGCAGAAAACATATTTTACAGAAAATTACACAAAAGCTTCCAGCACTAAATGCCAATGAGTTACAACTGTATTCTCCCACCAAAAGCTGCTCCCAAGGGAGTCATTGATATGTTCCCCTTCAAAGAGACACGAACATTCACACAAGCAACTACCCAAACACACCTTAACTGCCTTTACATTTCTCTCTCATGTGCACCTAAAATGGCCGAAAGAGATATTCTGAAATTAGATAATCCAATTTTATTGTGAGAAGATAACTCAAGATTACGGGTCTGAAAGGATATGCAACTGTCAAGAAGCCATTAGTGAGAAAAGGAAATTAAAAATATAATAATGATATAGAAAGGTTTAATGGAACGATAAGTCCAAATTTGCAATTGGTATTATTTGGATCATGAGATGCAGAAAATGCAACCAACTTCTGAGAGTGAACTTTGGAGGTGTGGGAAAATATCTCTGCAGATTTAAAAAAAAAAACAAACCAAAAAAAAACCTAAAAGCAAGTCTCCTGAAAAGAATGGGAGCTGTAATAAAGGTAAAGGGTCAACCTATTAAATACTGAAAAATATGATATATTTTAGTTGTTGAGGCTGTTTTTTGACTGACGCTAAAAATTAATAACTTTCACTTGAGTGGTCTCAAACTTCGGCACAGTACTGTAAATGCACACAGGTCAATGTAGTAAATGGCAAATATTTGCGATTTACTGCTTTTGACACCACTACTTTAACCCTCAATAACCCAACCAAAACTATTTAAGGAAACAGCAGCAGCACTGCTAGTGTGATGAACCTAGGGAAGCTTAGTAGGGCAAAAAAAAAACAAAAAAAAAACAAAGGATGTCGGAAGTAATTCTGAACTAATTTAATGTAATTCATAGACCTTGAACAAAACAGCCACTTGATACCAAAACCATAAGTTATGCAATGTGTGATAAAAATACAGTTCCATGCATGCCCCTCTACAAAAGACAACAGGTTCATTCCTGTGCTGCATGCTCTGAAACAAGCTAAGTAGCATCATCATCATGCCAGGTACACACATATAAATCTAAATAAACTATATAATTTATAGGGAAGTCACCTGTGCTATGTTGTAGGTCAGTAAAAATCGATTACTCTTTTTTGCTGTTTCCATTCCCTTAAAAGGCAGTTTGAGCAGCAATGAAAATGGATTTGATCTGTGCATGCCGATTATTATCCAATATATTATTTTTAAGCTAAAATAAGGTTTTGTATTAAAAAGCAGGGAGGGGCAGGGCAATATCTTTTCAGGGGGTTCAGAATTTCAGGCTATGTCTCTGGAGAGCACAGAAGCAGACAAAAGAAAATCAGAGACATGTCTGCATAATTTTACAACATACAAATGAACAGTAATTACTGCTGCTTTCATCAGAGTGGAAACCCTGATGCTGTTTGAAGGTCGAGCATTAAAACGTTCTTCCTCTGTGAATGTAATGCAACCTTCCAGTAAAAGGCTGAGCTAAGAGTGGAGTCATTGGCCTTGAGAGAGCAGTAATACCTCTCAATTAAAACAAAGTGGGCTCTTCATGAGTGCTAGATTGCACATCGCTTTAAGTAGGGCAGGGGTGTTAATCATTTTCCCTTAAATAAACTGTTAGACTGCGGTTCTATAAAATGACACCATCACTGGATGAAGAATTTCAATAAACATGAAACATTGATCACATTAATTCGGCAGCCTCCCCACAATACGAGACAATATAAAACATTGTGGCGGCTTACATTTTGCCCTCGTGGGGATCCTCCTCTCGTCCCTGCAAACAAAGTCAGTCATTAATCACAGTGAGCACCACTTCATGAGAAAACAGCACTGCAGCCTATGACCTAGACTTTGTAAGAGCTCTCACAGTCAATAGAGGACAATACAGAAACACTCTTCAGATGGTACTAGAAATGGCACAATACTACTTGTGCCATTTTCTTTTCCAATACAGATAATAAAACTACAACCTTGTCTACTGGCTGATACTGATACCCCTTTGATTTTTTTTTTTCTTGAAAAAGATACATTTTTAATTAAAGCTCTTCACTTTAGATAACACTCAACAACCCAATACACAGCCAACAACATGACAAAAACCAACTTTTATCACTTACAGTGTAGGCAAAACTAGAATTGTCATTCTAGTAAATTATCATCTGTAAAATCTAGTAAAATAGCTGTTATGTTAACGTTAAGCTACTGTTATCCTGAGACCTACTTCGCTTAACATTATGGAGAAGTCTGAATTGATTTATTTTTTTGAGAATTTGAACAGTCATTAAAAAAGTCACAAAAGTATTAGGATCTTTGACATGCAAATTAGTTTCTGTTTAGTCCAAAGACACAAACAAACAGAAAGACTACTGCAGCCATCTAAAGGCTACCACAGCTGTAGCTAATAGCAACTGGGAATGGACATCATGTTGTGCTGCATTATGGGATCGTTACGCCATATTGGCAGGGTTGATTCTTTGTTTATATGCTGCAAATACTCACACCACAAGACCTTAAAGTGCTTCTTCATTGTTTTTTTTTCCAGGAATGTCATGCTTCATACTGAATCAAATGAAATGGCAGAGTATCCTAATAAACTCTAGAGGCATATCAAACAATTTTTTAATGATAAAATTAGCCTCACTGAAGGTCTGGATCCATACAAACTCCCAAACAACGAGTGGAGTAATGATCTGGACATGCTAACATCACCTTCTCTTCCATTCATACACTTTTTTCTTAGCTGGTATGTGGCTTAAGTGCCTGTTCCTTTAAGTAGGTCACTTGTGTGTACAGTTTGTAAATGTACAGTTTGCAAACAGGTGCAGTTTACAAACAGTTTCCCCAGAGCCACCTTCAGATTTAACTCAGTTAATTTGCTGACATCTCAGCTACTAGCTTATTTAATGTTACTCAGTCCTCCACCGACATATTTAGACAGAGAGGATTCATACAATCTTTGACTTAACTCAGTTACTCAGGGTGTGTCTCAAAACCTAGTGAGCTCTCTACATAGACAGCATTTTACGTCACAGTATGCACGCTCCCGACAAGAAGGCTGTCCCAATTCTTAGATATCTCAAATACGCTGCCCACTGAGGTCTCTCATTTTGGCCGAATATCAAGAGAGCATCGGATGTTTCCTCAGCCGCTGAGGCAATCCCGCGATGCAGCGCAGCGCAACTTTCGTTTGAAGATGGCAGGCAGAAGCGCTTCACCAAGCAGCGACGTCATCTTCAAATGTGAGTTATTCTGATTTTCTGGGGTATTTATCTGTTTTCTAGTCATAAAGGTGCACAAATAGCCTATAGTTTCCGCGTTTGACCACAACTATTGTCTACTTTGCTGTTTCATTCAGAGCAAATACAATTAAAATCGCTATATAAACTGCCAGAGCAGATCCATGTTGGCTAAATAAATTCTCACGGCTGAGGTAAGTAAACGCCGGTCTGTGGGCGGGAACAAGCGGCGACGTCACTGCTGTCTAACTACAGCGTCTCATTTGTATGTCTTATAAGGATAGATGACGGTTGGACCGCTGCCTACTTAGACAGCTGCCTATGTAGACAGAGGCTACTCTCACTAGGTTTTGAGACACACCCTCAGTTTTGGCATACTCCACTGTAGGTAGCTTGTTAGCATACAATGCTTGCCTGGCTAGTTAGCAAACTAATGGCCCAATTACTGTACTGTACAATATTAACCCCCACAAAAATCCACATCAGATTACACAAATCTTACACTTACACTAAAGAGGGTGCCAATCTAAGGTCTTTAAGAGAAACAGACAAGTAACGCTAATCGTCTCGTACCTTGTACATTTTAACTGAAAACATTTTAAGAGGCAAAACTTTAGGTTTGTTTATCAGTAGTGGTAGTGTCACTGCACACCTTACCACAATGCTGAGATTTGCTCCCTACTCACCAGCTTCTTATTCCAATTTTTCTTTCCAACATGTTTAAGTGCCAAAATACAGTATCGCTACAACCCTTGTTACGGCATCATAGTCTCAAGCCCTCTATGAAGCATTGCAGAAAAGCATTGAAATACAAGAAACTCCAGTTCATTTTACACTCTACTTGTATCAATTTAATGGAATAAAACTTTCATCTAATTTAGTGAATTTATCAGATTTGGTATCAGCTACTTAACTCTTTACAAACTTTTGCAATTTTTGTGCTAACAGGTATGAGGTGTACGCTAAAACTAGGCTAGTATCACTAGCTGAGGTGAAAGTAAATGATTAGCATTTGTCTGTCTATCGTAAAAACCTTAGGGTGACACCTTTCTGGGCGTATATTTCACATCACGTGATCCAGCCACTCACCACCTCCTCCACCAGATCGTCCACTATGAGGCCCTGCTCCTCCGTCCTCACGTTGGTCACCCACATCCAGCCGTCTTCAAGTTCATTGTGAACGATAAACATGTCTCCTTTGAGGAAACTGGCACACAGAAGCAGGTGTAATATGAGTAAATGTAACAGTTCACAAATGACACCGAAGAGACAGTTTGGACAAAGCTAAATATGAATGTATTGCGTATTATTTGGAAACATGAGAGATAAAGATGTTTTGCTATGATAAATAACAGTGCAAGGCTACTCTAAGTAGCTGTCTCAGGAAATATATTATAAAGCAATACAATTACATGTGAACTTTAAGCTACTTTGTGTTCAAACCTGATTTCATCTGTCTCTGGCACTTTGGTGTATGGAAGGATGGCTCTCACTCTTCTCCTGTCTTCCACAGGCTAAATGAAACAGACCCACACACCTCAGGTCAGCATGAGTCTATTGAAACACTTCACGCATCACTGCCATCTCAAATCTTGAGATTTTGACAAGGTGATGAGTAAGGAGAAAAAAAGACTACAACATTCATTTTTTCAAAGTTCTAGAGGAGTCCGTCACTTCTTCATACATTATTTGACACTGATGCAGTTGATTAAAAATAAATGAGGTCCTCAGATAGCAAACATGATTATTTTTGCTTTTATGTGGGTCCCTGAACATCTGGGCTTATCAGAGAGTTTTTTGAACACAAACATTTCTGGCTGCACAGTAACTGGAAGCTGATTTCAGCCATATTACCTCTGGAGGAGCCACTGGTGATAGCAGCTTTTCACCTTTCAGTAGGCAAGACACATAGCTGTAATAACCAATGAGGTCTGACAAAGAAGAGAAACGCCTCCCACCAATGTAGTAATCCCCACACATGGCAATGATCCTGCAACAAAAACATGCATGAAGCTTAGTGTGTAGCTGTGTGTCTTTAAACTTCAAACGTCTGCATACATGAGTATTAAAATGAAACATTCAAGTAACACTGAAAGTGAATGTTTCAGGTTGATGCTGGTCTCCTAAACTGTCATGTTTTTTTCCAGAGTATGCGTAAATATGTGTAATTATGACTGACATACATACATACATACATACATACATACACACACATACATACATACACACACACACACACATACATACACACACACATACATACACACACACACATACATACACACACATACACACACATACACACACACACACACACATACATACACACCAATGTACTTATCCATTTTTATCCATTTAAACAGATGTCTAAGCATAACCCATTAGCTAGAGGTCATACAAGGTAACTTGCTTTGACATAACTTACTAGGGTAGCCTAGCTGTTGGCTACATTTAAGCACTTACATTTAAAATACGACATTGATGCTTTTCTTTCACTATATTCTTACACTCATGACAAAAGATATGCATTTTTGATAGGAGTTGTGGAAAAGCTGCGCTGGCGATAAATGGTGGAGTCTAAAGCCCAATTCGAGCTGGATTAGTTTTACCTTAAGAGGTGCTGTAATTTGAGTGATTACTGAATAGATCTGTGATTTTATTCCCGTACAAATCTTTCATGTCCATAGCTTTTACAAGTCTGCTATGTAGTAATTCCAGAATAAATCACCTTCTACAATTTGCCAAACTCTGAGCCCCCTCAGTAATAGCTGTCCTGTTGGAATCAACATCATAATGTAATAACAAAACCAAGTAACAGAAAACTGCCTCCATTTTTTCACTTTTTGCGACCTGAAGACAAGACTAACAGCTATATGGAGCTTGATTTGACCCGAATTCTTAATATTCAAATGCATGACAACACTACTGAAATCAACAACAATTTGGTGTACATTCCCTCCCATACACTATGATTATGCACCCTCATTTGGAATTGCCACTGATAATGGCCGGCACCCCACACTAAAATGACAAGTTAAGCCTTCTCCCATGTCCGCGCGATGACTATTACAGGTAATTTGGGGACATTTCACAGGTCCTTTATCCCATAATTACATGCACAATGCACAAATTACATTACCGGACCTCCTCTGGTAAAAGTAATCAAGCTCAAACAGGGCTTAAGATAAAAAAATAGGAGCCAAACAGAACCAAATATCTGCGTGCAAGGCAACAGATTAGGGTCCTTAACTTAAGCAAAGCTCAGTTATCTGTCAATCGGCAGTCTCTTCCCCACACGCAGGACAGCAGGAAGAAGTGTCAAAACAGCATTTTATTTGCGTAAAAGTTTATATGTAATCAGGGTGAAATTTTTTACCAGACATTGTGTTCAGCAGGTTTTTTAGTTTTCTGGTACTGCAGAGCTTTCACCAATCAAATACTAGTGTTTACCCACTAACAAAAACCCTACTGTCTACCTATCTATCTGTCTGTCTGTCTATCTCCATCCATCTATCTACGTTGGTATGTAAATGTTTGAACATCCCTGGGCAAATTACGTTTTGTTGATTTTCTAAGTGAAAATAAGTTAAGCCCTCTACAAGGAAAAACTTAAATACAGCATTTTCTATACAGTTTGGTGCATTTATTTGCTGAATTTAATATATTGGAAAAAAATACTTCTGCTCAATCCACATTTTATGTTTTATATTCATTCAGTACTGAGGTTTTTAGAGATACTGGATATTTTTGCTTCAGAGAGAATTATTGTATTAGATATTACTCTCAATTTCTATTCTTGTCCAGGTAAGACATAACAATTCAACATTTTATTGAAGTCTTGGAAGCGGCAGTGTTTATTGTGGCCTTTCACACCTTTACTTAGCTGATAAATCAAAGTTTTCATGAAGTTACCTTTTATCTTGAAACAACAGAAACCTAGCAAATGTTATTTACCACTTTAAAATGTCATCATGTGTGAGAACGGAATTTAACATTCAGACTGTGGAGGTGTGTTCATGCTGAGACCCGATGAGTTCTGTTTTTCAGGTCCACCCACGCTGTCTGTCCTCAGCCACCTCACAAACAAAAATATCTTCCCTAGTGTCTCTAAAATACAACTTTAATGAGCTCTGACTTGCCAAATTAAAGCAGCAGCTTGTATTCGACCTCAATTTTCAGAGACGCCTGTTTTAGTTGTAGCAGTTCTTTTTATCTTGGCAGGAATGCTGGGGTAATTCAGCTGTAGTTACAAAGGCTGTAAAAAGCCATTGATGAATTATAATGCATCGAGCTGAAAGTGATGATTCACCATGATTGACTTGGAATGTAAATTATAACTGATTATAAAAATGCTCAATAAACTATGATCAGATTTAGTTCATTTTTATTCTCCATACACGCTGCTCTGTAGTGTTGAGATTCTGTTAAGGATCTTTAGGGGCTGAAATTTGACAGCCTGGTGCTTACCTGAAGTGGTTGACCACGTTTGTCATGCTGAGGAAGGACAGCACAAAGGACCCAGGCCGCCGGTCACTCTCCCTGATCAGGTAGCTGCCCGGGGTCCTGGCCTGACGCAGCCGCTCCTCGGCAATGGTCCTGTCTAGCTTCCCATGGTACCATCTGTGGGAAAATAATACAAGCTAGTATCAAGGGTTTGTTTATTTGTCATGAATATTCTCAGTTTGATTCCTTAATGTCTTGGTTTATTCTGATAACATAATTAGGCCCATGTTTTTGCATCTCAGGCTAAATTAACCTTAGGCATTTGCACCAGCTGGCCCATGGGGAGTGGAATAATGAACTTATTGTGGAGCGTCCAAGTTTGACAAATTCTCCAACAGGCAAGGCGACATGAAAGTGCAATTCTGAAGCACATTTAGAAACTTCTACACAATTTCAGGCTACATGGCCCACATGGCTCTATGTCAGGAACAATATTTTGGAATGGAACTGTCCAAATACATCGGAAGTGAAATTTCCCTCTATGAAAGCGGTTCAGCTCAGCATGAAGGCTAAAAAGCTTTTAAGCCAGAGCGTGGGCCATTAACAACTTGCTACTCTATAAATTAAACAGTAGCTTTTCAAACAACACCGGTTAAAATTTTAGGTCACTGCAGACGCAGAAAAAAATTAACACTCTTGCTTGGTTTCGCACCCTGCAACACAGGACCCAGAGGGGGGATGCCAGGATGAGGAAGAGTGAGAAAGAGAGCAAGTGAGAAAGCCTGAAGACAGACAGAAAGAGTGAAAGCAAGACTGAGAAACTGAGAAAGTAACAGATGAACAAATGCTGTGCAAGCAGTTTTCAGTCAGGATTTAAAGAGCCATGTCCAGTACATAAAAGCAAGAGGTTTCAGTTGTAAAGATTCAAGACAAGACTGATGAAATGTCCTGAATGCTGCTGACCACGTCTGGTGAAGAAAAGACAGCTGAAGCGGTGGACTCACAAAGCTGCTGTGTAGAAACTGAATAATATGGCTATTTTTCAGGCTTGTGAGCTACATTTAAATATGGCAGCACAAAAACATGCTGAGTAAATAGCTACAGTATGCTGTAGGGAAAGATGCTTAATATTAGGAAAGTGCATGTGCTTATTTTTATAATTGCATATCCACAAGAGTTCATGAATGGTTATCAGGTTAAAGGACAAACACCAGCAATAAACAAAAACCTAACAAAAAAAACAGGCAGTTCAAAACCTGCCAAAGGAAATCGGTTAGTTTTTGTGTTGGAGGAGTAACAGAGGCTGCCTCTTCATATAAGCTTATGAGCTAACAAAGCTAACAAGTGTCACAATGAGGTCAAGATGCTGATGAGGACTTGTCTTCTATGCAAGGTATTTTCTTCTCAGTGGGCAATGTGCCAACATGTTATTGTATATGTCTAAGAAATCTATTTTCACTGTTTCTGAACCAAGCTAACATCAGCTAGAGTGGCTAGCCTAGTTAATGACCCAGCTTCACTACCTTCTTAGCCACATCCTCAGTAATTTGTTCAGGTTCAAGCACTCGTGTGTCAGAGTAGCAAAGTATAACATATTTACTTGCAAATATGAGCAAAGCAGTTGAGTTTAATTAAACTGTTAGCCTGTATATTTTCTCTGTCTTCTTATGATGGAATGTAACTAGTACCCATATAATGATTTTAGTACATATACTGGCACCTTGAATGGAAACAGTATCTGTGCACATCCCTAGTTAATATACTTTATGACCAAAAATATCCAGACAAGTAAAAGTATCCACACAACTCTAGTCAGCAAATTCAGCGTCTTTAAGGCGCACCCATTACTGACATAGGAGCTCAAATGCGCAAACAATGCTTGTAAAAAAACAAAAAAACAAAACAATAATAATTGTCAATTCTTTTCCACAGAAAATCACTGACAATACAATGGAACGCTCTGGAGCAGCTGCACAAGTTCACCATGCCTAATGCCAGCTAGAGGGGTATGGAGCACTGAGCTGTGGAGCAGTGGAACTGAGCTCTCTGGAGTGATAGAGCTCCATACATTACCTTTAGGATGAGTTGGAGTGCAGAACTAATCATCTTACATCAGTACCTGACCTCACTAATGCTTGTGTGGCTGAATGCCATTGAATCGTTACAGTAATGTTCCAACATCTAGTATAAAACTCTCCAGAAGAACAGAGGCTGTTACTGCAGCAAAAAGAGGAAAACATTTCTATTAATGCCTTTAATTTCAGAACAAAACTTTGGACAAAAAAACCTACAAAAAGTTTGGTCTACAAACTTTAGCATATATATTTTACATGAACCCAGCAGGAAATTTGCATGAAGATGCATGACAACATTTGTATTTGGTGTCCAATCTATTCCGATCTATTATCCACGCGCAACTATTTACACTTAAATATCAAAAGATAACAACATCAAAACAGCAAATATTGGAACCTGTCCAGAACGTTCGGAGCAAAAAAGATATGGCCTTCGTCTACTCAAGTACTGTATCAAAATTTGTGGGAGGAGTTTTGAAAGCATGTGTGTGTGGTGTGTGAGGAGGAAGTGGAGAGCATGTGGTGATGGTGGGTGAATAAATGACACAGACGTGCACTGAGAAAGGAAGGCCATATGTTATTTTCAGTATCTGCTCTCCACCAAGATAACACATCACACAGCCTGCCAACACATGGCTCTACAGGTCTCTTGCACTGCAGCGTCTTTTGCAACGTGAGAATCAAGTTCAGCGCTTTTGAAAAACTTTCAAACCTCATCATGCACAGAATATAAATGATATACAGTATAAACGTTTTGTTCTTTGCCACATTTTCAAATAGGCCAGTAGGCCTACGCTGAGATGATTCTGATTACGCAAATGTGCTAAAGATGAGCTATGGACAGAACATTCTGCTTTACATTCTGACTTCACACTAATTTTCTACAAAATTGCAACTGTGGAACCTCCATTTGACCATCCAGGTATCTCACTAGCCAACTGATATGCCTGCTTTTGAAAGGATCCACTGAAATGTGGATGCTGTAGCTTTAACAGCTTTAAGAGACCAGGCGGCATGAAGGTTTTTATAGAGTAAAACTGCATAGCCAGCAGAAGAAGGGTCCCTAAGAATTCAGTCAGGGTCTGCTGCCTTGCAGTACTTTACATAATAAAAATGACATCAGCCAGAGAGAGTTATTAGCAGATCAGCTAATGTGCTCTAGGAAAACTCTGGTCGCAAACGTGTGCTAAGAAAAAGAATGCAGGCATATTAGGTCTACTGGATCAAAAAACACACACACTTTACTACCTGATGGGTTTTGAGAAGCACCTCCCTGAGTGACGCAAGCAGATGGTGTGAGATTAAGTATTCTTTAAACTATAGGCTTATTTACAGTTGCGGTTTTGGGGCCATAAAACTAATATGGTGATGATATTCCTGGACATTCCACTGCAGTACGCATTTTAATATCGGAAAGCAATAATAAATCAACAATGTGACATGGATAAAGACTGGCCTGCCTCTTTTTGACTAGGGATGCATCAATACCGATACTGGTACCGGGCCAATACCGCTCTCATTTACTCATACTTACAAAAATGCACCAATATTAACTTCCGATACCACCTGTGACGTAAGCCAAGCGCACAGTGCCACGCTATTGAATCTGCTCACACAGAGAAGTGTTACTTACTCCGTCACAGTCAGACACAAAGCAGTTGGTCATTTTAAACATTCTGCTTTGGCAGAGTCACACCAGGAATACACTCTGTGATTTTGGCTTGTTTTTAAACACACACACAAAAACAAATCACAACCGCTTCCCTAATACAGGTGGGGACACACGGGTCAACTAAACAGAGGAGAAAAAAAAGTCAACATTTGAATACAATAGCAAGGTTTAAACGTTGATATGGTGATGTTTTGTAAAACAGGCTGTAGAGAGACCGTCTTGTCCTACCGTGTACATCACCTGGCTTTCAGCTTCAGTGCACAGTGTCAGCAGCGCTGCTCAGTTTCTCAGCCAGTTTGCTCAGTACTCGGTACACAGCATGTTATTTTTGAATAAAAGAGCTGTCCGTAGACAGAACTATCTGTAGGGACTGTGTTTCACATATAAATCTTAGGCTTTGTCTGCACACGATGGTCTATTCAAACGTACAATGTGAGTCGCACAGTGTCTGGCTTCAGAGGAAATTCAACTACAGCTTAACCAGCCAAACAAAATACTAACAAATAGACATAAAACTCAAAACTTAAGCTCATCGAATGCCTCAGATGTGATTCCTGCTGTTGATGTATTACAGAGACTGTTGTTGAGAGAGGCAAGGAGCAAAACTATGAATTGTACTTACAGCTGTTCAGAAGCGCTTTTCTGCTCACCCCTCACCACTGCAGCACTACTCGATCCAAGGCAACTAATGTAACATAGCTAGCTAATGCATGTCATTTAAAATCAGCTAGATTGTAATGATTTACTTTTTAAGTTACACTGCACTCATGTACACCAACTACTTAAAAGGTTACTCAGTAGGATATCAGACTTGGTTTTGGCAAGTACTAAACAAATTATGTACTCGTACTCATACTCGGTCTGAAAAAACTGGCATCGATACATCCCTAGTTTTGACCAAAATAATTTATTTTTGTTGGATTCCATGAATAGCTTAATTCATCAGAACATTCACAGAAACATTGATCTGGGACTATGATTGGCAAGGATTCTAGTAGTATACATCAAAAAACAGTGAGATCAGTTGAGGGCTCATTTGCATATTGCAATATGCTATTAGCATTGAAAAAGTCAAGGGCAACTAACAACATCTTGCACAGCCCTGTCGGCAATACACAGCTCTTCAATAAAACAAGCCAGGCTCAAACGTTCATAACTTCCTCAATTCCGGAGCTAACTTTCTGCTCTTACTACCGAGATGAGCAGTAAAATATAAGGGGCAAACAGACCCTTCTCCAGCTTAGGAGAGCGTACACAAATACAGTTTACATCACACTGAGGAATGCCTGATCATGTCAGAGCATGAAATGTAGCAATGTGTAGCGACCATGAAGGCAAAGCAGCAAATGTAAATCTTCCAAAGAACTAGGTAACAACATCAAAATGATGGATTTATTTATCATTTAACTTATATGCTATATTTTTCCAAT